AAGCTACAAACATACATTAATTTGTATATTATGTCATACGCGAATAGATTATAATACCATTAAAAAAAAAAGTGTACCACTGCATGTCGTCATAACATAGGTTTGGTTCGGCAGTTTCTGAGTCCATACAACCCTATGCAAACGTACATTAACATTTATATAATACACAGGTATGATAGCAAAGTATCGACATTTTATATTATATTGTGTTATGATTGTTATGGAATTCGGCTGAGAAGCGTCGAACGGACGGTATGAAATAATAATCTTCGTAGGTCGTTGTTTTTTAAATGTATTCCGACCTGTTGCGCGCTTGTGGCGTGGACCGTTCGTGCGGGACTGGTGTTCTTACATCAAGTTTACATCTTATATTATAATAATGTTTGGACACTTGTTTTATACACGGAGTCATTTCTCAACTATATGCACACTTATATTGTTTTGTTATGATATTGAAAGTATTCGAATTCTAACTTTTGGAAATTGTATGCAAACTTAAATTGTACCTATTATATTGAGATGATGTACAACCATATAAGAGACTGGTATAATTGTAAAACCTTCACACACTGTATCGGTAATAATCCTCAGTACCTACACAAAGTCGAATGATTCAAAAGCTACTCGTCGAATTCTGATTCATTATCAAGAGCCATATTATCTGATCAACAATTTTCAGTTAAAAAATGATGTGATTCTCTTTTGAAAAAAAAATGAATTTGGTAGAGGCCGCTACTGTTTGACCAACAGTACGTAGAATCTAAGCATTCGAATACGTGATGGTCTGTAAGTCGAATTCCAAAAAACGTTGTATAAATTCTTTGCAAAAGTGATAAAAATGTGTGATATGGTGGGGGGGGGGGTTATCATAGTCGGTTAATCGTCCTGCAGCATATTATACACATTAGTTATCATATTAGTCGATGACTCGCGAGTCGCGAATGTCGGGGAAAAAATATTACCCCTTTCGCGCGGTGACGGCTACCACGACGACGACGACGACGACGAATTAATTTGTTTTGACTGCTCCATCATCCCGAAGCGACCCTTCGCGCGCTCATCCATTAGTGATGGGTTTATCGGACGGCCGATTTGTTATATCAGTTATATTTTATATACACGAATACTATATGCACACGTACAGAACCAGAGTTGTACAATAATAATAATAATAATAATACGGCGAATAATAATATAATTTGCGAACGAATAAGCGCACGTATAATATCCCGCAGCAGTCGGCCGTGACGGCGGGGATGGACGTGCACGTCCGAAACTCGCGATATATCGAGTTTCCAGCACGTGTAATTAAATTCGATGCTTTTACGGATTTACGAAATTAAGACTAATTGGCATAATCAAAATGTTTCTGTGCGCGTATGTGTGTACGCCGCACAATGTCATCGCTCCGCGTATAACCATACGATATATTTTCATATCCGGACGGCCTAAAAATGTGTTGCAATTATTTATGACGATATTATATTATTATTATTATTATTATACCCGATGGTGCGTATCGTGTATCAAAATTATTAATATTATTATCGTTAGTGTATAATGCCGTTTTATGTTCAACGTGACCGATCGCGGACACTCCGAATGACGGTACGCAAGTAATATTAATAACGGCGATCGGATTGCGCTCTGACAAATTATAATTTTTTTTTTTTTTAACGGCAGTGTCAGTAAGAATGAAAACCTATAATGCTATATTATTATTAATTAAAGGCCGAATTTAATTGATATCGCAATTCTTTTTTGTAGACAAAATAAATTATTAAATCTGATTACATATTTGTATATATTACCGAATTATACTATTTTACATTATAATATTCTGCGTGTTTAATTTTGTAATTTTGTGGGTGTTATGTGTTGACTTAACTAATTCGATGATATAAAATTGATATTATTGCAATTATGAGTTTGTTACCAGCAGATAAATTGTCGACGTACCATCATAGTTATTAAGATAATAATGTATTATTCTTATCATATTCCTACAAATTGTTGGCGTGTTTATCGTAAATCGTTCATATAAAATATGTGATAACAATTGTCTCCTATACCATATATACTTAGTCATACTACAATACTTGTTCAGTAGACATTAAACTAATTTATTGAGAACACGAATCAATTATCAGAACTATAGGAAATCACTAAATTATAAATTTGTGTTGCTGCACGGTACAACACATGTTCACCTTTAATTTCTAATATTGTAAAACAACATATTACTTACATAGTATAGAAATATATTCAATAATAAGTTTTAATAAAAAAAAATAATTTGATCAACTATCTTTTATATTATATTAATAGACTAAACTCCTTTTCTATAACTTTTGAATTTTTATAGTGCTATTTATTTTGCGGTTCGTAGTTTTTTACACGTTTTTTTTTTCTTGTGCAATAGTATATACAATTTTCATAATATGCGATTTGTGTGTGTGTTTTTAATGCAATTCTAAAAAAATTTGCTCTCATGGACCGCGAGTTATAAAACAGAAATTTATATTAAGTTCCATGTACCGGACGGCGGACATTGCAATAATAATACGATATACGCTTGTATACGAATGACGAAAAAAACCTCCAGCCCGTTGAATATCATTATTAATTTGTATAGTGTGGTGCGTGAAATATTATTGTTCGGTGACTCGTTAAAAAGGCACTCATTAGCATTCCCCGTGAGCTTTGCGTGGTACATTTTATCAACATAGGCCTTTTCGCTCCTATTTCCCAACGCAAAAAGATATTTAATGGGGGCCGCAGGCGTATTAAAAAACACAAAATGCATGGTATATACTGGGTGATTCGTTTAACTTAAGACACTCATTATATTTCAAAATGTACTAATGTTTTTGAAAATATTTTCTTTACATGGTTTCAACTTTCAAATATTTTTAAATATTTTTTGCCCTTGTAATTTTTTTATTTTATTATTTATTGTAATGTGATTTGTGGTTACTTCGTAGTACAATGAAATGTTATTCAAGAATATTTATGTCGACGTATAATATACATTGATCGTGTGGTCGACCTCACCCAATCAAAATGTTGATATTTTTTTTCGTGTGGATGCCATCAATCATAAGTAAAACTGGTATTTATTGAGCTCAAACTATGTGACGAGTCAAACGAAATCTGAAATATTACTGCAATCTAAAAACAGCAATTGTATCTTCATATTTTATTCCAACGATTTCTCATGGTGAATATGACTATTATTTTAATCACCGTCGATGGTTTCCGAAGCAAGTGCAGTACACGCGTCGAACATTTTTGTAAATATCCCCGAAAATCGATGGTGTAGGCGGCGAGGATTCTACCTCACCTCCTCCCGTTCGATCAGCCACCGATTGCTAGTATAGGTACGTGTGCATATTTATATACGTATATATATCACTGCTTCTATGCGTACATTGTAGGTACACGTTATTACATTATATATATATTATTATATTTGTACAGTATATACGTACCGCGAGTGATGTGATATCGGTCGTATCGTCATCGAATTAACGCGAGTTGTCCGATTTAAAATCGTCGGTTTCGGCCTCGGATTACTAATCCAATCCCGGGCGCGCAGTAAAACGCCGCCGTCGGCTCGGTTTTATTATTAATTAGCCGAAACAGCCTGCGGGACTATGTATATCCTGTTTCGTCCTGTCCGCCCGCACGCACTTATATATATATATATATACGCGATGCATATATATATATAATATCGCACATATATCCAGCGCTCGACGTTGAAATATGATCGGCCGGACCCTATACGTACATGTATATATATACACATATATTATTATACTGCAGCAGCGAATGATGATGCACACGCCAGGATAACGTCATTATCCTGCGCCGCACGCACACTCGTCTGCTATATATATATGTATATAGATACGTATTTAAGTTTACTGCACACACGGACACTGGTGGTCGTATATATATATATATATATATATATATATGTATGAAACACCACGCGTGAAGTATGTGTGTGTGTGTGTGTGTGTGCTAGTGAGTAAAACGCGTCCGTCAAATGTATATGACTGTATAATAATAATAGTAATAATAAACACACACACACGCGAGACACGAATATTAAACACGTTTAATACTGCAGTGTAGAATATATATATACCATATACGTATATATGTGTTGGGCATGTCGTAAGTATATAATACGACGTGTACGACCATATTATATATTATATTATGGTCGCGCACATTAATATATTATAACCTTCGACAGCGGTCCGTATAATATTTACGCGAGCAAAGGCCGCCGCCGCCGCATTAAACGTAGTATAATATTATATATTATGCCTAATATCATAATATTATATTATGCGAGTCTCGTATACGTATCGCTAGACGACGTTATAACCGTTTCGGTCGTTAATGCACACACACACAACTAATAAAATATCATAAGAGAAACGGACACCTATAGCTACATAAAGTGATATTATTATTATGCGTACATATTATTAAGTACAATGTGTCGAGTGCGATATATATACATATATAAATATCGGTTTTAACGACCGACGGCGCATAGCGAGGTATTTGTTATAATGTACATTGTATAATGACATTGTTAATATCGTAACGACGTCTCGCGGTGACGTTTTCGAAACTCAAAATTGCCCAACCAACGGAGTTGTAGCGCGGGACGCGATCCGATGCAAGCGACTTGACGACGAAGTCTGGGCGATGAGTCGTAGTATGCGATTGGAAGCGGAAAAATGGGTCTTTTCGCAGATTTCTCGGCGAATAATAGTAAAACAAATGTAGTACAATGTATCTATTTGTAATAATGTTCTAAGATGATCAATAATAATTGATCATAGCAATAATCGTATTATTATTAAGTACCTACCTACATGTTTCAAAATAAAATTGCTATAAATTATGAAAAAAAAAAAAAAAATAACATGATATGTAAAATTAATATAATTTGGTAAATTTGTCGTAATTTTTCTTAAACATTTGCTACCACCTGACAATATTATTGATATTCGTGAAATGTTTGTGTATTAAATGATAAAATATAGTTTTGAGGAAGGTCGTGCCAATACTATAAAAAGGTCAAAAATTATAGCACAAACAGAATCGTACTAGTACAGAATAAAATTCCACATTTCGACAGCGCCGGTTGGGGAGGTGGGGGTCGACTCCCACGACGTTTTTACAATTATATTTACATTGGAGTAGGAATATAAAATACTGTCAAAAGTCGATGAATTTCATTTGGAGCTCTTCAGTTTTTCTGTCTGTTGATTTCGAATTGAACATAGTTATAAGATCGTTTACCTTGCCGGAACCTTGCGAACGACCTCGTAACGACGATTTTCCGTTAGTTAACTTTGCTGCCGCCATTTTCTATGAAAAAAAAAAAAAAACAAAAACAAAATGTAAAATAGTATTCAGGCATAGGTAAGACACCAGCTACAATACGAATGTGATTAAGTGAATGGAAAATTTCATTTCGAATAAATCGATTTTGAATATTCTACATTAAATAACAGTACAGGTAATGTTTAGAAGAAACTATCGATACAAGAAACCTAAGCACAATATAACGGGACTGTTATATTCCTGTTCAAATTATTATAGATAAACACGTAAATAAAATATGTACTTTTTTAGACGTTTATTTTGTCGAGACTACCGATGTCAGAAAAATACGTTCGATACATAACAGCATTTTCCGGTTACTGGTCGTCTATATTGGTTAAGCTGACCGAATCCAATGCTTCGCAGAGCGGGATATTTGTACGGCTTTCCACTGGCTCGTCTTCCTTAACTTTATCCTCCTCAATCGATGTAGATTCGATTTCGGAAATATCGGTTAACCGCTAAGAATATAAATGAAACAAAACGTCAGTAAAATTATCAAGAACTCGAGAGCGAAGAAGGTACAAATAATGAGTTTAATAATAAATTCAGTTTCTTCAATGATGCATTTTATTCAAATTTTTTCTGTTTTTAAATTTTTTTGTATATTTAAAGACCATTTTTCATGCCATTCAAAGAGTATTCGGTGACGATATACATTTCTCTTTTCTTTGAAAATAACCATAGTTTTTTGTGTTTATTTTTAAGTTTTTTTTTTGAAAATTGCACTGAAATCAAAATACTTTAGAATAAAGTTATTACTAAATAATGATAATATAGGCTTAGAATATATGGAGACTATGGGGTGATTTTAATTTTAATAAGTCATGAATAATGATTAATAATAATTGAAGTATCTTAAAAGTTAGATTCTATAAGTATACTTAAAAATTTAGAAAAACCGGAATTTGAATGAATGCATTATGAAGAATTTAAGTGAATGAGCATATTAAATGAATTTTTATATTAGACTCTATGTTTCGATTCTAATTTTGAAGACAACATTATTGATCAACTGATGCAATGGTTTTCATTTTATATCATATATTATGTTTATAACACGGATATATCGATTGTATTACGCCTAGGTGGAAAACGTTTAATCCTTAAAATTTGCGTGTGAATCCGTTTTGTAAATAATATTAATTGCCAACTATTCTGAATGTTTATTTTTTTGTCACCTCACTGTCTAAACTCAGCACAGAAATAAATATATTCAAATAATATTAGGGACATAACGAGTTCCCGAAAACATTGACGTGGTGTAGCTAAATAGCCTATTTCAGGCGCCGTGTCATCCAAATATTTTTATTAAAACGGATCAAATAACAAATTATTATACATTCTTACGTCTCAAAGTAACTATTAGCCATTAGGTACCTGAAAAATGAACACAATAATACACCTTCATTGTGTACCAACTGCGAGACTAAAAAAATGGATTAAGTATCAACAGTGTGCATATACACAAATCGGTTTTCTTGGTCTCGAATATAATATAATAGTATCTCATTTACAAGGAACAGTATATTATGATATTATTTTTAAGAAGAAAAATAGAATATAGAATTTATTAATTATTACTATTATTTTGAATTTCCTTTATTTTGAAAACCGTGATACATCCCTCTCTGCGAATAATTATTGCTTTATTTTAAAAACACTGAATTGGTAATCCCGAACAATCGTCAACATTTATATAAGTCATAATTACAAATCAAGGGTTCAAAAATAAATTAGTTTTTAATATCAAAACCTCCCATAAAATCACGTATTTTACAGTGCATGACAATAATATTGAGTAATATCGAACAAATTGATGAATCCTAATATTGTGCTGAAGGGTCTTAAATACTATAAATTGTACAACGACTCACAATACTGTTATAATAATAACAAATAACAATAATAATATTCATATTTAATATTATATTATCTTATCATATTCAATCATTCTTTCGATTGAAAAATGAATAATCTTTTTCAAATGGGTTTTTTTAAGTTACTATTTTACGGTAGTATTTATTAATATTGTCTCCCCCATTGAAGAAATCTGAAAATCTTAATTTTTTTTACCACAACCACATCTGCGCGCCAGGCTGTCGACATAGGTACATTTATATTATATTGTAAATATTTAATAATTTTCTAAACTCACTTCTTCAATAGTGTTGAACTCGTCGACCAGACGTCTGACGATCCCGGAATCGGGCAGAATCGTTTCGGGCGGCGTTTTCGCACCGTTTGACTTCCAGTTGTCGATGACGAGTTCCAGCTTCAGCGGCTTCCTGACCACCAGGTCCTTGTCATTCTTGATCGTGATCGTTTCGTCAAACGTTACGCACCGTTTGCAAGTGTTTACCAGACAGAAGCCGCCGGCTTGAAGCGGTTTGGCCGTCGCTGCGGTGGACTCTTGGGGTGGTCTGTCGTTCCGGACGAAAATTCGCCGTTTCAGTATGCCTTTGCCCTGCATGAATTAAATTCGTTTTCATAGTTTTTTTCTGACCCTATATTTATACAGCTCGTCTGCACGAAAATACACTCGCTTATCAGGTTATAAGCAATATCACAGTTAGGATAATGTTTATGATCTTAACATATTTACATAATATATCTACTTTTATTACAACATCTTTCAGTCGTGCTCATCGAAGAACGAATTACAAATTGTGTTTGGTAAGAAGTAATAGCAGTTATATTAAATTTTATTTTTATTTTTACAGTACTTTTTTGTTTTATATTTTTAGTCATGTTTACTTTATACATTATTAGCCATTGTTTTTTAATTTATCGTCTTAAGAAACATTAATAAAAATACTGTCCAGAAGACCGTACCAGATTGTGGATGCCACACATGTGTTTTGTACATGCTTTTAGATGAGATAAGTGTTATAAATTGTTGTTACAACTCTAGAGAACGTGTGAATATCAAACGTTTGTAAATAATCAACATAGATAAATCCATCAAACGTATATAGTTATTAGTATATTGAATAAGCAATGAACAATGCAATATTGCTTAACGCTTTCACATAATTTCGTATAGTCATGTGTTTGCAGTCTTAAGGATATACTCTGATATTTATTTGACATATTATATGCGCTCATTATTTCGAGTCTTCAAGGTCATAATATATACATCCTAACACTATTAATAATAATAATCATATCGTATCGGAAGCTTTGTTATTCGTATATTACTTTTATTAGTATCGTTATTTTATCAATTATGTGTCATACTCACTGCGGCGGCATTGTTATTATCTCGGTCGGTGTCCACCATCGTGTCAATGAAAACTTTGCTACAGAATTCCACTTCACACAACTCATCACCAAGCACGCTGTCGAGATGTACTGCTCGTCATTATGTAACCATTGAACTGTATAAAAGTCTGAAAGAGAAGCTTGAATATAGAAACGATCATAAGAGTTCCAAAAAACTGTAGGTGATAATATTTTCCATGCCATTTCCGTTGGTAGAAATTTAAGAGGAAAAGGAAGGCAGAATAAAAGCAATTCTCATGTTGTAACTCAAATGAAGACATTTAATGTTTTCCAGAATATAATATGACGTGAAGCTATGAGTAGCTGTTAATAATTAATGTTTGTACTATTATTTTTATTATAAAATGACGTATAACTATAAATTAATTTTAATTTGTACAGTTAAACAAAATAGTAAATTGAATGTGATAATCAAATTTATTATTCGGTTAATATGGACTTTATTTATAAATGTCTTAGTTTCATTCCAAACTTAATAATAATGTGTTGGATGTCAATAAAATAAAAGTCATCAATATGACATTCCGAATGAAACCGTCCTTGTAACAGTTTTCTTTTTCACGATGAACGAGTTCATTCAATATTACAATAACTTCTTCCAGGAGTGAGCAGGTCCTGCCCCCTCAAAACGGGAGCTCATGAAGAAACCGTTTCGTTCGTTCGCTTCACTTCACTTTTACTGTTAGAATAGTTGCACTATACAATAATACAATAATATCATAATATTATACCTGACATTTTTTTTTACAACTGTTGAGTTTAATATTTCGAAACGTTTGCAGGGCTGCAGTCGTAGATCTCAGAACGGCGCGTGTATTGCACACATTATTATGATTTATTGTTGTCTCGTCAGCGACGGCGTCCGCTGCAGCGATCTCAGTATACAACAAGGAACCCAAAATAAACATTTCGACTTATAAATGTATTTATACAATCATATTATAACTTTGACAGTCTAGCGAGCTGACGGAGAAAACCAATATTATTCTAAAGTCTTCGACAATGATTCTTTAATATTACATTATACCGGTATTAACCTAACCTCCTCTGCTGCCGGAAGTATATAATAATAATACGTATCTAGGTATAGATAAAATATTATGCGCTGCGCGTATACGTTGGTTCTCTTCGTTGACAATAACGCCTAAGATTTGTATTTTTTTTTTTTTTTTGGTTCAGTCACGCCGTGTCGGTGATTAATGACTTATATTGCGTCGATATATAATATGTAATGAGCATCACGCCACGGCGTTAAGCGCGCTAATCAACTGAACGTGCTTTGGCGGTAATTATGTATTTCATTCTTACTTCGTAATAAGTACCTAATGACAAAATATATGAATATGGTACCTACATGTACCTGTACTGTTGTTATAGAAGTTTCTATAACGAGTATTTATTTTTTTAGTCAGTTGTTCGATTGTTCTAAGAAATTGTATGATTTAATTTTTTTTTTAAATTAGCAAACTCGATTGTTTTGAGAGACGCCATAAACATACCATAATATAATACTAAATTTTACAATAGGTTATTTTTAGATTCTGAGCGAAGTGATTTTAAGCGATATCATTCAAAATATGATATGTCTTCTTTAAAAATTGTTTATTTTTTTGTCTGAGATCATTTTTTCGTAGTAGAAAACAAATTTTCCGATCATCAACTTCGATCCAAGATTTTCGTAGCTGTTATGGGAGATCTAGATTGTACTTCGGAGAGTAAAAAGTATAAATTCTTAATACTTTTAAAAAGGGTCCATTCCGTATATTATATAATAAATAAATAATAAACAAAAATAAACCGGAAAAAAAAATTACGAACTTTCTACAAAGCGCTATTATTATTATATTAAAATAATTGTTTGATAGCTCGGTTGACACTATCTGCTCTGATTGGTTTTCCATTCAATACATAATAATTTCTCATTTAATTCAAATGTAATATTCTCCTTACTGCAGTGCCCTACATCCGACGCCCGTAGTTGAACAGCAGATAAGTTAGTAGTTGTACCTATACTTGAAGGCATTTGTCTTTCACCTTCTCACTCTTTGACGTTCGCTAGTGTCGCTTAGCCTGCAGTCGAGTCGAAACAAACCAATAATATAGTCGGCGGGTGCTTACAGCACGTACTGCATGGTACAGATTCGAAACCGCGTGTCGTACACGGATGTGGTAATGATGTCATTTAATAGAACGCAAATACCTTATACCCGGTACACGATCCGTTTTCGTCGAAATCGCAATGCCTTCGAGGTTCTTCAAACAGTTTTTCGAAACAACATTCCAAACGCGCAGTCGCGCAAATACTGGGCGCGCCCTAAGGTTGTTTATTTTGTACGACCCCTTTGGAAAATTTGCCTCTCTCCGGGCACACGGGCATACGAAATGTACGTAGACGCATACCGCACTGCACTTAACTCGATATATTTTCTCTGTCGCCGTGTGGCTTTAGGTAGGTATATACGTCATACAGTATGGCAATACGTATCGATAAAATACTGCTCGGCAGTTGAAGTCTCTGCGAGATTAAACGGCGAAATTGCGTAATCATTATTATTACCATGTATGATGCGCGTTTGCAACGATCGAACCGTGAAAACGACATGCGCGCCGGAAAATGCGTTTGAGTTGTTTACGGCGAACACGCACGCGGCGGCGACCAATAAAACTTACATGTCCTCCTCGTACATACGTCAGCGGTGAGTCCGGGAGAGCAGTAAATATTTGCGGTGTCAAACGCAGGGAGGTAATCCAATTTTGGTTACTGCGCGGCCGTTGTTTACGATTGACTAATTTTTGTGTGTTTTGTATGGAAAACCGATTTTCGAGAGAAAATAAATACAAAAAAAATAAAAATAAGAAACGGCAGTCGCTTGCGCTTTATTTCGCGTATTCCCTTTGGGGTGCAGCACTTGGTTTCTACTTTTAAAACATTTTTTTTTTTTGCTGTTTACCAACAATAAACAAAGTCTGCATAGGATATTATTATGTACGTGTAAACATGTACGACCAATGTATTAGTCTGTGCGGCACCAATTACGTATATTATATATTATTATATTATGATCGCGGTCTCAAACGTTTTTCCGGAACTCTTTGATGCCGTATAGGTACTATTATTGATGTTGACTTATCTCCTTTTATAGGTTCAGATGTTTGTTTGCAGTTTGAGTTGCTTATTATTATTTTTTTTTTTATAAACAAAATCATTTTTTCCTCGACTGTCGCTGTAGGATACTTAAACCGCAGCAGCTTCACTGTTTGCTGTCATTATAGTTGTCATCGAGTTGAGTTCATACACATAATATAATTTTCTGGTACTTTGATGTTTTTTTACATTTTAAATGTATTTTCTCAGCGAAGACAATGAAAAAACGTGTAAATACTATGCGTTTAGGTATAAAACCTAACAAATTGGTTTTTTTTAAATGCCATATATCATTGTGAATCGACAGAAAACCGTTTGGGAAAATGTCATCCTCTCATTTATTGTAAATGATTCATTTCGTCCGTTATTATTGATATTGATAAATGAAAATATTTTTAATTCACCATAAAGAATATTATGAGAGGTCATTCGCTCATGAGCATATCGATGGGGTCCTATAATAGAAACGTGTGCTTGCAAATTTTTCGAATGACCTATCCATTGTATTCGATCCAAGACTGTAACTGTTTACATTCGAAAAACGTTGTATGTATATATATATATTCGTTTTTTTTGCCGTCGCAATATCATTTTTATATTTTCCAATATTAATCGTCTGGACGTAACGCACTCGGCGTAATAGTCGGCAATAAAAATTCGATTTTTATAATATTCTTTATACTTCGAGTTTCACGCGGGAATCGAATACGTCGTGAACTCGGAACGATATTTTACGGCTTACTCACGATACTCGTCGTAAAACCAAATATACTCGAGTTATATAGATTATAAAATAAATAATAATATTTCGCTTAAGAGTTTGGCAATAATAACGTGCGTGTAATGACCTCAAGTGTTCGGCGGCCGATACAATATAAAACACATAGGGTGATTCGCTAGACATGTTCACCCCGGTATTTTTCTGTAATAATACAGTTCTTCCAAATATACATTTTGGAATTTTTAAATATCATATACTTAAAGACCATTTTTGTTGAGAACTTTAAGTGTTTTGTACCATTATTAAGGAGCGTCCGGAGGCAACACGAACTTTAGATTTCCAAACGAAAACCTCCTTTTTACATTTAATTATTCAGAATCTAGGTAGATCATTTAATGTCGATGACCTATCCATCTAAAAATTCCAACATAATATCTGAATTGTTAATAAATATATTATAAACTTAGCACAATACTATGGTCATTATGAATGACATTATCAATTATAAAATGTTGATTAATTATAGCATTAGTTACTATGATTTTCAAATCACAGACCTCATATTTTTCAGCTCTATTGCCGATGATTACATAACAAACTATACTCGTTCGTAATTTTTTGTGTAGGACAGTATAACTTTGAAATTCTTATAAAATGATATTATGCTGAGTAATTTAAAGTGAATAATGTGGGACATATTATAATTATTTAACGATGGCACTAATTTAAAAAAAAAACTGTTTGCATCACCATGCAAGAAGACGCTCATTAAATGGTAAATAAATATCAAGTATGCAAAAACAGTCAAAAGAAAAAAAAACGAGATTTGGCGTAGTTGGTGAATCACCCTGTAAGTACCATACCTATATCGGTATTCGAGATCATCAATGCACGTTCGGCTTTTCGATATAATAATAATAATATTATAGCAATGCCATAATATAATGTTCGTATACAGTATAAAACTTTTTAAGACTGGCTGCAGGGACCGCTTGGGCGGAAAAGCAAAAATAAAAGCGCTGCGGCCGATATAACGACCAATAAAAAATAAGCAGTCGGAGTTGATAACCACCGAGTGTGTGTGTGTGTGTGTGTGTGTGTGTGTGTGTGTGTGTGTGTGTGTGTGTGTGTGTGTGCACGTAACAGCCCGTGGTGTCGCTCGAGAAGGAAAACGACTGCGACGAAAGACCGAAACGAAACACTTATAATATTAATATGTCGAACAAACGTTAAAAAGCTTTATTATATATACTTTTGACGGATATATAATATAAGGTCCGAATAAAGGAGGTCGTAAATCTCCGGTCAGAGGCAGCGGCGGCGGCGGTGCTGGAGGTGAAAATATAAAAATCCGGTCGTATTTAATGGCCGCGGCGTACACATAATAATATAATATAATAATATATAATAACATAATAACGCGTAAAAACTGATCGTTATTACGACCGTGTATGGGACATTATCCGCACAAAGTCGAGGGCACCTATATAATATAATACACCTATAATACAGGCAGCTATGTGATATTATTGTATATGATATTATTATGTACACGTCTCGACAATGGAATATTAGTACTAAAATCGGAAAACCGTTTTAACGCGATCGCACACAATGTGCATTAGCCGTCGTCGTCCGGCACTAAAAAAAAAAAAAAAAAAATTAGACAATGTCGTCGTCGGCGTTAAATACCACTAAACCGGCGAAGGGACGACGTAATATAATATAATAATGTACGTTTCCTACAGTATACGACCGCCCCGTGTATTATCCGGGGAGACGACAATGTACCTATATATTATTTTATATAGGTACGGTCGGACGCGTGTTTGTTAATGATGTTGTATAATAATAATAATAATAATAATAACAATAATAGTATATATGTGAGTACCCAAAGAGATATGTGTAGAACGATTTGAGTAGCGTATGTGCACAGAAAGGAGCCTGTTGCGCAGCTGCAGTCGGCGATCGAGACGGACGTCGTCGTCTCGAGAAGGAAATAAGTAATCAACAATTCATAGGTACTAACTGCTCGTATAATATCGCGCACGGAATGACATATACCGATGACGCGTATGGAATCATGGACCTCATACCTGGTATACGTTTGGAATAATGCTCGTAATGTGCGCATGGCACACGTCAGAATGAAGCGTTGAATTCGCGTTAGGATTTTGAAGTAATTTTCTCGGGACGTAAGCTGCAGTTCCATCACACGCTTTGCGCGATCACGCGAACGTGTAACAATACGACTTAGTAAATGATTTTGTTACTTATGTTTTGCAAAAACGTCGCGCAAAAGTATATTCCATGGCTCAGTGGCATGTCATTGTCGTGTAACTTATGCTCAACATAACGTAATAAGGTAATGGCTGGCAGGGATTTATTGCCCGCGGGATGTACGACGTGTGAGCAGCGGCGTATACGATGTTAAAAAATATATAATGGGTATGTAATATCGCGTAATACGTGTACATCATAAAAAATATTCTAATGGGTGATTATATTTTTAACAGTAAATGCTCGTCACGATACCTATCCAAAGTACTGAAGTTTTTAGGAAATAATTTCAAGTCATTATACAAATAAAACTTTTTGAAGGGATAAAATGTATTTTTCGTCGTTATATTTTTAGTTTTTGACTCATAGTATTGATTTTACAATACAATGTTATGTTTTTTTAATTTAAATTTACTTTTTATATCTAAAAACGATTTTCCTATTAGACAAAATGCTCTGATCATTATATTTTGGCATTTTGGTAGAAGTTTCTTGTAGAAAATTTGAGCTTGTGAGTATTTCTGGAAGGAGGTAAAAAATAAAAATACTTAATACTTATTAAAATTATTAGGAAAAAAAATTAATTATGAACATTAGAATATTATAATTAAAATTATTGTTTGGTATAAGTGTATAACCATGGTTATAAAAAAAGTTATTGCTCAGAATCATTTTTTGTCCATAGGCAATGACGAGGTACACTTGACGTATTTGTGACCTTCCATACAGAAAAACTTACTTTCCCATTTTTTTTTGAATGACAATATATTTAATTTTTGATGTCGTATTCCTAAGCAAAATATTTTTCTCAACATTTCGTTGTACAAAAATCTTATTTTAGACGAGTATTCATTAATTGATTGGAAGCACATTAAATTTTAAATGATCGGAATGAGGTGGTCAGTGGTACCTCTCAAATAGTTGGTCTTCGCCCCTCAGTTTAGATAGGAATAATACTGTGTTGTAGAGATAACTTTCACGAAAGTTGCAATTAAAATAAGCAAAACCTTAAAAACTGTAACGATATGTTGGGATAACGAATTGTATACGAAATATAATATTATTGTTTTTTTCTCCTTAAAAGTCGTTTGTAATAGATTCAAATTGCGAATAAAATAAACTATAAAATGTATTCGAGATAGCGAGAGTATGCTTACAATTTTAAAATTTTTTAACTAAAAATTATGTAATAATAATATTTTTTTAAACATTTATAGTTTTTGAAATCATGGGTATTCTTTGCAAAGAAAATCATACTGTTATATTATTTAGGAGGTACCAAGTCCGTGACAAAGCACTCTTGTATGGTATATTAACATATTATACTACTATACTATTATATGGGTGCGCAGGCCCTGATTTAGTGAAATAGGGGCCCCGTACACTATAAACTTTGGGGGCCTTTTTTAACGAAAAATGTAAAAAATATGACTGAAAACTGCGCATGCTGCGGCGGCCTCCTTAAATAGGTTATAGTTACTACTTACTAAATCTTATTAAAAATATCTTTTATTTATGGTAGCAAAGTATAGAATAGGAAGGCCGAAAGGGCCCTTCAAATTTGGGGGCAATGTGCTAGTGCACCGCTTGCACATGCGTAAATCAGGGCCTGTGGGTGCGTACAAAGTGATCATCATGAAGCTCACGCGTGTTTACCTAGGTAAATTTTTAAAAAATAATTTTTTACGGATATATGTCTTGCAGCAGCCCTCAGTAGGAGCAAGTATAATGTACGAGCACAAAAACAGCCCAACTAACCATTGATAAAATTTACATGTATATTTAAATTATGTTTTGACCCATCTCTGACTACTACTACAAGATTACAGCAGCACGACCCGATCGACTCTCCAATAACGCCGACCAAGGCATAAGTTGTGACGGGAAACTGTGTCGCGTAAGACCTACGGTCCGCGGAAAATTCTGGACTAATTATTGTTCATCGGGCCGTCGTACGATCAACGTAAAACGCATACGACATTGTATTGTGTATTGATTGGTTGACTGTTGTAATAGTATTATAATATATTAATCGTAAAGTGACATTCATAAAGACGTGTTTGTGTTGTGCTTCTTACTATTATCTCCAGACCTACGATCAGACCACGATCAAAGATCGTGTCAGTCTCTTATACAAAAAATTATCTATTTGTTTTCATTATCGTAAACGGACTTTTGACTGTCACTCGCAGACATTTAACTCGTGTTTCAATCAAAACCCACAACAGTTTCAGAATTTAGTATAGGTTCTGGTTTCTAAAAATTTAAATATGGTTTCTCAATATTATAGGTGGGTAAGCGAGTACGGTATGCACCCAGTTGAGTGTCTACATTATGCTGTTTAATTATTTCACTTACCTAGAATATTGAATTCTGGTCTGGAACAATATTTCGATGTGACACTCGATTTCGACAAGGAGACTTCAGCTGATATTTTTCAAAAACGTCATAATCTACGGAGTTGCTCTGCGACTGACCACATAAACGTGTGGTTACAATAATAACGCTTAGTATAACTATACAATGCGAAATACTCCGCGATCAGCAAAACAGCGAGAAAATTACGAACAGATGTCTCAAACTATAGGTTATTATTGTACTGCAAGTTCAGTGGATTCGGCTCGCGTAGTTGAACGCATTCGGCCAGTTGTACAACTATACAAGGAAACTCGCGAAAGTCGTCCGTCGGTCGGACGAACGATGGCTCTGCTGCGGTGACGCTTGATGTGTACTCGATGAGGACCGGCGAAGACGTAGGCAGCCGAAAATTATAATATATCGTCGTCGTCGAGAGAGAGAGAGAGACGACCGAAAAACAACCGTTTTGTCCCCGCGCGACGTAAACTGCACGTTATTATTAATATGTGCGATACACATACAAAATACCACACTAGTATAACCTACATAATATTAAGCTGGCGCACGCTGAACGACAGACCGACAAACTCGGCCGCCTCGGAAACGTCGAGTGGAGTGGAAAGCTTCGTCACAGTGTTCTCAGCGTATGCTTGCGTATTAGCATAATAATAATACAACATCTAATGCACAATACGCATATATTATAATAGTGGTCCACTGACAACTCCGGAGTAATTGGCTTGCGTATAGGTAGGTACTACATAATATAATAACAATAATAATAGTAATAATAATAATAATATATGTATACAACGGACATGACGTTTGCTGCTCTGCAGTACCTGCCTACGTACAGGGTGGTCCAACAAGTATGCTCACCCCCCATTTTTTTCTTTGATGATGAAGTTTTTTTTTTTCAAAATTTGACTTTTGCAGGAATCTTTAAATATACCCAAATACCATATTTACATATCTTTGAGATTTTTTTGTGCCACTCAAGGAGTGTCCTGTGGCGATAAGAACCTTTTTTTTTTCAAATGAGAACCCCACTTTTTTTTTCTTTAAATTATTTAGCGGATAATTTTTTTTGAGAATTTTGATGTATCGAAATGAAAATTCGAACTAGTGGTTTCCTAGTTATTGGACAATTTGTACTAAGGATAATGCTTATACAGTTCTACACATTGAATAAGAAAAATAACTAAATAAATCAAGAAGGATTTTACTTGCTATTTACCCAAGTGTTCAACTAAATAAATATATAAAATGACTTATTATTTTATATTATGTGTGTAGACTATATAGATAACAACGTATACTGTGTAAGCATATCCTTGTTCCCTATTATAAGCGATATTATCCTTAGCACAAAATGTGTAATAACTAGAAAACTATTCGTTCGAATTTTGATTTCAATTCATCAATATTCTCAAAAAAATTATCTGCTAAATAATTTCCAGTAAAAAAGTTGGGTTCCCATTTGAAAAACAAGTTTGTATCGCCACCAGACACTCCTTAAGTGGTACGAAAAAATCTAAAGAATATGAAAATATGGTCTTTGAGTATAATTAAAGATTTAAAAAATCAGATTTTGAAAAACTTCTTTATTAAAGAAAAAAGGGGGTGAGCATACTTGTTGGATCACCCTGTATATGTATAATGCAGGCGAGTCGTGTTTTTCTCCGTTGGCATATTTTAAATCATTATAATGACGTAGGTACGTATTCATAATACTAGATCGTTTCCACATATTATAATATTGCGACGCAGCCACTAACGCTCATTGGATCACTAATTCTCGAGTAACTTTGACGACAGTAAATATTACAATTTTCGGGACCAATTAAAAAAGTTAATTCCAAGACAATATTTAAGCCATTTTCAAGTAGTCTATATTTTGTTTCCACGCTAAAGCCTCTTGGTTTGTAACGAAGAAACTGCTCCATGACGGCCTACGAATCAAAACAATCCAAATAACGGCAATCATCTCTTACAAGAGCTTTCACTGAGAAATTCAATCAATTCATTTTGTTTGATTTTTGTTATATAATAATATACAAACTTATAATCATAATTGATAATTTGAGCAGTGAAACGTTATCTTAGTTAAACTTAGTATTGTGCTAAACTGTTACCATCCATTTCCGGTTTTTTTGAAAAAAAAAAGTTAGGTAAGCAACATAGCGTCATAGCTACATACTTAATAATGTAAAATAATAATTATGACGAATCGGTGTAAAAGATAACTCGACAGCGAGTCGTATAATCATTCAAACTTGCCACTGTCAAATATACTTTGACCAACAAATATACTTATTAGTTAAGATCGTGAAAATATTCAGTAAGCACTTTTAAATAAAATAAAAATTACGATATATTGTTGAAAATATTGCTGCAAATTTAATTATAGTTTTCTTTAGAGAGTTCTAGTAGCACGACCGGGAGACTTTTCGCTATTTTACGCGGAAAAAAAGAAAATTCCGCTAGGAATTTGCCTTATTGATTGGTTACGAGTTTTCCAGTCTTACCATATTTTTATTTATCAAAATATAAAAATATCCCTTTTATATTATTGTGATATGTATAATAATAGTTTAAATAATAAATGTTATACCCGGCAGATTTATATAAATATCAAACATCTTCTGCAGGCGTCGTAACTTTTTATTGACCACATATTTTTTTACAAAAAAGCTCTGTTGTAATTTTTTATTACTCTCGTTTTTTATGCTATTCGAGTATCCGTCTCGCTTATTATTATTTTTAATAACATTTCTTTACGTTTCCATATAACAATACCCTTGCAAAATGTATTGTATACCAAGCTCCGTCATATATATACTTAATACCTATAAAATATATGACCTTATCACAGACCACTTATTATAATATAATGTTATAATGGACAGGCTGCTGTATGGCGTAAAATAAAATCAACTACCATACGTTAAAATTAAAAATATATTGAAAGATAATCCTTTCAAATTTTAATTTACATCTTCGGGATAATATCGCGACGATTGATCGTTTGAATTGATCCGTTACCCCTGTATCACCAAAGTAAATATCGAAGTCATAAAAACGTTTTATCGATTGTTATTTAATTTATAACGACTAGTATAATCCTAATTTCAGAAATTGCACACCTCACCGATCTGGGAAAAACACAATATTAACATGGCAAAACTGGTACAATCATTGCCACGTTTTGAACACAATTAGGTTTTTGACTAGTACTTGATACTAATTTTAAGTATTTGAAAAATGAAAAAAATATAGAAAATTCAGGAATTTTGGATTCTTTGAGGAAATTTATTTAATTTTTAAATGTTTGAATGAGAGATACTTGCTGATGTTCGTTGAAATTAATTGGTTCTCGTCGCAAGTACTTGATCCTAGTTGTAACGTCAAATAACTTATTTTTGACAACTTTATATAATATCACTATATTTTTTGAGCAAATTAATTTGAAACTAAATACATTTTTAAAAAATATTAATTTTGCTAATTTTCAGTAAAGGGGAAATCTTAAAACGTTTATTATTAACCATTTCATTTTTAAACGTTTAACTTGAATCAATTTTTCATTTTTCATTTGTCATGTGTTTCTGTTACACGTACACCCTGTATATTATAGGTACCCACCTTCAAGGCCGTAGCCAGAGTAGGGTGCAACCCCTCCCCCCCGAATTTTTTTTTGAAATAAGATTTAATTATTTTTTAAATAAAGATTAATTTCATTTAAATAATATTTTAATATTTTATTGTATAATATAAAATATTTATACTCTAACCCCCCTCCCTTTTCTGGCTACGGCCTTGCCCACCTTGACCTATTTTGTGTATTCAACACTTTAACCATGTACAGTATATATAGTGAATTCAAATCATTCAGCAAAATATCGTAAAACAAAATTCGATATCCAGGAATTATAGTGTCCCCGTGTGCTGTATTGTTTTAGGTATTTTTTTAATTATTCAAACCGAAAACTAAGGTAAATGCATTTTATTCGAATTCGTTTTAGCAATAATATTAAGTGTTTTCTATTTATATATTTATAACATCGGTTTCCTGTTTTTAAATAACGCGTATAAGTGCGTATTTATAACAAATCTCTGTGCATTATAATCCAAAGTTCCAATTATTTCAACATATTGTACCATAATATAACGATCCGATCGTCGTTTCAGGATCGAGCTCGCGTCAAGTAGGTGCCCGGCGAATAAAATAATTGATGTGCGTAAGTTCACTATTTATAAGTATACTTTATTATATTATTATTATATGCGTACAATAGGAGGTACTCTTGAATATTATGAATCATTATTATACGCAACGATGACACGCGCGATTTGACAATTTATTTTCCTTTCGTCTCATTAGCCAATAATTTGTGACCGTAACGTACAACATACTAATAATTGTTATTACATTGTCGTTGCAATTCCTGTTACAAAATATGTCATATCAAACAAAGAGCTGTCGCTTGACTGTAGCACTGTAGAGTACATTTTTTTGTTCACAGGTTTTACGAATTACAAAAATACGTCCAATAAGTGGCGGGTTACAGCTGAGAGTAATGATGTCGACTTCTGCAGCTGACTAATTACGCACGAGACAGAAGTCACTCAGCTCGTTATATCGACGCTTTCAAACGGGGAAAGAAAATATTATTGCATTGTGACATTATAATGTGCGTAGAATTAATAACATAATAAACATGTCACATAACATAATGAGCGGCACTCGATCCACGGGACCCGCGCAGCATCGCTCTCGAATCGAATATTATATTGTGCACAACACTCGCGTGCAAGTATACCTAACCGGCCGGCGCATGAGCGGGTTTCCCGCGGCACGCGTCTCCCCCGACGTCCGACAAGTCCTCGAAAACAATAAAGTAATAGTTAGTTATATGGTCGTCGTCGTCGTCGTCATCGCTCATAGATCGCATTATATACGACTTAACAGCGAGCTCGGAGGCTGCAAGACTCGCGACCGGTTAATCGTGCGAACATAAAATACCGTACAAGTTTATTATTATTATTATTATTATATTGTTTACAAGTGTATATTATTACAATATTATTATGATTAATGACCCGCGACTGTTCGAGTGCGCCGAGCAAAAAGTCGTGTACTCGAGGAGTGGCATTTGATGGTCTATATAGGTGTACAGGGTGATTCTCCAAGCATTCTCACCCTCATCTTTTTCCGGAGTAATGAATTTATTCGAAATCTGATTTCTTAATTTGTATAACTATATTATATAGTTTAACTTTTTAACTTGTTTATGCCCAGACTTGCTTAGTATTCTATGTTATATCGAATCTAGTATCTACTTATAACAGGTACTAGGACATTCTTACAAGTAGGTATTGATTAATATTCATATCTTAGGTTTTCAAATCGTCATATAGCCCTCATTATATTTTCCAACCCATCATTCTACCCTGGACCTATTTCCCACAATGCACCAAGTAAAATAACTCAAAAAGTTAATCGTTTGATTTTCGATTTAGAAACTTCGGAATTTTCAAAAAAAAAAAATATATATCTGCTGAATAATTTAAAATGTAAATAGGGGGTTGTGATGTGAAAAAAAGAAGTTGGTAT